GTGATTTTGAAATCACGCTTCAGCTCATCTCTAGTTTGAAGCATGGGTCACCCTGTCCAAAAACGATAAAACAAAACGAATTGTGGTTAAACGGTAATCCGAATACGACTGCTTTGCATCTGTCCTCGGAGCCCTTAATATTATGTTTTAAGTAAATTGAGTCTTAAATACTCAACATAATTTTGCGTGCGAAAACATTAAATTAGAAACCAAAGCTGTGAACAAGTGTCACATAAATCAAGCAGCACTTAAAATGTGATCGATTCCAGACTTTTCCCTTTTCTTTTAGATTATCGAAATCGGGGGGTAGGTGGGATAAATATTTGGAAAATATTGGTTTGTTATCTCGTCGTCGATATTGCCTACGTTATGATATTTTTATCTTTCCTGGGTCTCAGGCAAAGTGTGAAGTAAAAATTTTAATCAACATTTTTACTTCACACTTTGATACCCAGGAAAGATAAGAATATCATAATAAGTACACGCAGTCAGGAAAATAAATCAGAATTGCGTGCGTTCTTGTTGAAAATTACTTTAATGGAATTGCAACAAAATTTTGATATCTATTAATACAAAGTGTTAAAAAATAAGTTTGAAAATGACGTTGACTAAACCATTCACACAACTAAAAACTCGCACCGCTGCGGCGATAACTGCAGCGTCAGCAGTATCCTGCATATTGACGAATGTAGACAAACGTTTGAACCACAATTCAAAAGAAATTTTGCTTTAAGCATTTAGCAATTTTTCAAGCATTTTTCAACTACACACCGTGTAGCAGATACATTTGCCGCACGAATTGTCGAACTTTTTACTCAAATGTTCGGTCCAACGTTGGAACGAATGATCGACGCATCGTGGAGCGACGGTTTAAACAGGCAGTGAATGGGGTTGTCTTGTGCAGGGGCGTTCGTTTATACTTAGTAACAAGTAAACATCAACTACTATAAAAACATATATTTACACTCCCAAACGGTAGACAATTTGTAATGGGAGTTCGTCAGGTGGTCGATCGAGAGAATACATCTGAAATCAACATAGAAAAAGTAATTGAGTAACCAGTTCAACGAAAATTAGATTTATGTTATTATTATGATTAACGTTTTTTTAACATTAAT